GCACTTGGGAGGCAGAGGCAGGCGGATCTCTGTGAGTTCGAGGCTGGGCTGGACCGACAGCCTCCGAAACAATACAGAGAAACCCTGTCTCGTAAAAACCAAAAAAAAAAAAAATCCCTTATCCAGCCAGGCAGTGATGGTGCACACCTGTAATCCGGGAAACAGAGGCAGGCAGATCTCTGTGAGTTCAAGGCCAGCCTGGTCTACAGAGAGTTCTAGGACAGCCTGGGCTACACAGTAAGACCCTGTCGCAAAAAACCAAAACCAAAACCAACCAAGCAAAAATCCTTTATCTAAGGCTAAAGATACAGTCAGTGGTAGAGCATTTGTCTAGCATGGCCAAGGTCCTGGGTCAATCCCCACACACACACTGCAGGAGGAAGGAGGATGAGGAATGGGAACAGAGGAAGAGAAAAGGGAGACAAGGAGGAGGAGGAGGAGGAGGAAGGAGAGGAGGAGGAGGAGGGGAGGAGGGGGAAGGAGAGGAGGAGGATGAGGAGGGGGAGGAGGGGGAAGGAGGAGGGGGAGGGGGAGGAGGGGGAAGAAGGAGGAGGGGGAAGAGGGGGAGGAGGGGGAGGGGGAGGGGGAGGAGTCCCCACACAGTCACACCTGTGGCGAGAACTAGGAAGCACTTCCAGTTGGCTGGGAAACAGTGTGGGGCAGGAAGGTGGGAGCCTTAATCTTCTCCCCAAAGGATGGCAAGAGCAGCCAGACTAAAGGGTGAGCCCACACAGGGTTTTGGAATGCCCCATTCAGCATCCTTCCAACTTGGCCATTGCCGGTTTTCCTCCCCAGTCACTGCCGCCCTGGGAGTAACTGGCTGGGCCTGTCCCTGAGGCTGTGTGCATTTTTTTGAGGGGCGTTGCTTCCTTACCCCTTGCTCTGTCCTGGATCAGAGTGAGCTCTGAAATTCTGGACCCCTAGTCTTTTGGTTGCTAATTGTGGGAACAATTTGTTATTGCTGCTATTGAGACAGGGTCTTGCTATGCAGCCTTGGCTGGACTAAAACAGTTGAAGGGGCAGGGCTGGAGACATAGGACCAGAATTTGGTTCTTGGCACTTGTGTCAAGCAGCTCACAACCACCAGGAACTCCAGGCCCAGGGGATCTGACACCCTCTGCTGGCCTCTGTAGGAACTGCATGCACTTGTTGCATATACAGACAAGCAGATAAGCACTCACACACACATTTTTAAATCATGTGTGCACACACACACACACAGGCATACACATAATTAACAATAATTGAAACAAATCTTTAAAAAATCAAAGGAAACCCTCTATCCATTCTCCTTTGCCCCCTCCCAGCCCCACCCTCTCACCTGTAGGCCACCTCTGCTGGTTTGCCTATTCTGGACTTGGCACACAAATGACATCATACAACACTCTGTCTTTGTGTCTGGTTTGTTTTCCATACTCTAACATGTTTGGGTTCATCCGTGTTGCTGTGTGCATCAGTACTTCAGTCCTTTTCTTAAAAATGGCTGAATAATAGCCCACTGTGTGGATATACCATGTTTTAACTTTTTGCTGTTGTTGTTGTTTCGAGACAGGGTTTCTCTGTATTGTTTTGGAAGCTGTCCTGGAACTCGCTCTGTAGACCAGGCTGGCCTTGAACTCACAGAGATCCGCCTGCCTCTGCCTCCCAAGTGCTGGGATTAAAGGCGTGCGCCGCCAACGCCAGGCTCATGTTTTAGTTTTTTACCCATCTTACTTTTTTATTTCTGTGTGTATGTCTGTATGAATGTGTATGTGTGGGACGGGGTGCCCGAGGAGACAAGGAGGGTGTCAGATCCCCTGGTGCTGCAGTTACAGGTAGTTACGAGGGAGCTGTTCTCCACTGCTGAGCCATTCCTCCAGTCCGGAGAGATACACTGTTCCTCGCAAAGTTCTCCATTGCCTCCAGGATTTGACCTGGCTTCTCTAGGACCTCCTTAGGGACTCCCTCAGCGTCCTTACAAAGCACCTCACCTTGGAATGCCGTGGGAGACTGAGCCAAACACTGGGCACAGATTGGATCTTCCCGCCAGGGTTCTTCCGGCACCCAGCCCAGAATTCAGGGTTCTGTAGATGTCTGCTGGGGAACGTGTTTTTAAAGGGTGGAGTGCCCTAATGCGTTCTGTTTCATGACACGCAGCCCAGACTGGCCCAGAACTCCCTGGGCCTTGAACTTCTCCTTTAACTTCTGCCCCCTCCACCTTTGGTTTTTTTGAGTCTGGGCTTCTCTGTGTAACAGTCCTGGATGTCCTGGAACTCATAGAGATCTGCCTGCCTCCGCCTCCCGAGTGAGTGCTGGGATTAAAGGTGTGCGCCACCATCGCCCTGCGACCTTGAACTTCTCACTGTCCCTGCTTCCATCTGCTGGGACTTGGGATCACAGGTGCGCACAGCCATGTCCAGTCTATGTGTTACAGGGGACTGGACCCAGAGCCTCATGTGAGCTAGACAAGCGCTCTAGGAACCAAGCCAAATCTTGGTCCCGCTAATGTCTCCCTTCCTTGTCACGGCATGTCACCGGCAGAAATCTACCCCTGTCCAAGCAGCCCCTTGGGCCCCGTGAAGTCGTTGGGAACACTGGCTCTTTATCTGCATACAGTGAAGCTGGTTTTGTTCTGGCTAAAACAACATCGAAACCACATAATGAGAAGTTTGGAAAACTGAACAAAGCAACAGAAATGACCCATAATCTCTCCCCTAACACAACCACCACTTCTAGGATCCGAACTTGGTCACTCCCTTCAGTCACAAAAGCAACACTGGTTCATTTTAGTGTTAGACTCACCTATTATCTCACGTCAGAGGCAGTTGCTGAACATTTTGGATATTTCCCTCTAATTGTATTTTTTTTATTTTCTTTAGAGACAGGATCTCCTGTATCCCAAGCTGCGTTTCTTTAGAGACAGGATTTCCTGTATCCCAAGCTGCGTTTCTTTAGAGACAGGATCTCCTGTATCCCAAGCTGGGTTTGGTCTCCCTATGGAGCCAAGGGCTCCGTATCCCAAGCTTCAGGTCATCCCTCCTAATATTCTCCCCTGACAGGATCTCACTGGGTAGCCCTTGGGTAGGGAACACTTGGAACACAGAATAAAGAAAGTAAAGATGCCAGATTGAGACACTCAGGCTCAGGGTCCCGACATCACAAAGTCTTCCTATCAGAAGTGAGCACCTGGCTGTAACCAGCAACACACTGGGGGCCACCTGCCCACCCTAATCAGGAGCAGGGGCCAACAAGTCTGCTAGGGAGAGATAAGCCGACAAAGGGCCATGAAAACCCAGGTCCCAGGCAACTCAGCAGACACTGGTCTCTAACATACCTCAACACACACACACACACACACACACACACACACACACACACACACACCTGTACACTGGCAACAAGGGACCCTTTTGGTAATCCCGACTCTCTCCACAATCTCTGGCTTCTGGCTTGGCTCTGACCTTGGTGACCAGCACCCTGGTGAACTTGGCTAAGCACCAGTGGGGCTGAGAGCAGCCAGCCCCCGTCACTCTCAGAGCCAGCACTCACTCTCTGTCCTTTCCCTACCAGTGGGCTGGGGGCAGTGGCTTGCTGTGCTCTGGGCAATAGAACTTGCATCCTGCCTGTGGGTGAGCCCTGCCTCGGATATGGTGGCATCACATGGAACTGGGTTGCTATTTATCAAGCTCAGGAATTCTTCCCTTTCCCTGATGTGTAACCAATAAACCACCAATGGGACCAACGATGTGTGTGGCTCTGGCTGTCCTGGAACTCACTCTGTAGAGCAGGCTGGCCTTGAACTCACAGAGAGGCATTTAATCCTACAATGCCCAACTCATTTAAAGATTTTTTAAAAATTATTTTAGTGGACTAGAGAGATGTCTCAGCAGTTAAGAGCACTGACTGCTCTTGAAGAGAACCAGGGTTCAAGTCCTAGCACCCACACGCAGGGTGGCTCCCAACCACCTGTAACTACAGTCCCAGGGCATAGGATCCACGCCCTCAGACACTGTCAACCTTTTTATCTTCTCTTGAGACCTCTCTCTGGTCTGAAAGTCCGCTAGTAGGCTAGGCTAGCTAGACAGAGAGTGTAACTCAAATAATAAAAGACCCAGAAACTGATATTGGGGCTCAAGCTAAGAAGGTTAGTAAGCAAAGCAGCCAGCCACGACCTCTACCTCTACCTCAGGCCAAACGGATTGATCCTGACTTAAGGAGCTCTCCAGCAAGCCTCAGACTGCTGCCTCTCCTCAACGTGACTGAAGACTAAATCTCAGAATGCAGCCGGAGACACTGGGCTCCTGTCTTTTATGTTCCTCTCTAGGGCTGGGATTAAAGGCATGAGCTCTGATTCTCTTTTAGACCGATTCATTCTTGTGTAGGCCAGGGTGGCCTTGAACGCAGAGAGATCCATCTGCCTCTGTGCCTGAGTCCTGGGATTAAAGGTGTGTGCCACCACTGCCTAGTTTTTACAGTTAACTAGTGTGTCTGGGCTTTGCATCCTGAACCCTCAGACAAGCTTTATTAAATCATAAATAATATATCACCCAAGACAGCCTCAAGAATCTGTCTCTACCTCCCACAGCTGTGAGATCACAAGCATGGGACACTTGCCCAGCTGAGTTCTGGAGTTGAAGTCCTCCCACTTGCAAGGCAAGCAGTTCACCCAGAGGCATCTATCCAGGGTTGTCCTGTCATCCCCAGATCCCGTGTCCCTGCTTCTTACCTCTTGCTGTACTGTTGAGACAGTCTTATGTAGCCCAGACTGACCTCAAATCCACTATATAGGTGACAGTAAACAGCCCCTCCTGCCCCCACCTCCCAGAGCTGGATGACACATTCTGGACCCTCACCCAGCCTCAATTTCAACCAGTTCCCCTGACTTCATAGCACAGCATTGGCACCTGCTTTCTGAGTGTGGAAAAAACAAACCAATACAAAACAAAACGCATAATGCCTCGTTCTGGAACCTTCCCGGGGGTCAGGTAGAATGTGTGTGTTTAACCAGTCTGCAGGTTTGCTTAAGTTTGTTTATTTGAGAGATAGAGTCTTGTTTTGTTGTCTAAGCTGTTGTCTGAAACTCCTGGACTCAAGCAATCCTCCTGTTCCAGCCTCTAGAGCAGCTGGTAGTACAGGCATGTGCCACTGCTCCTGAGTGAATGAATGAATGAGTGAATGAATGAATGAGTTGCTACCTCCCGGGTACCATGGCCTCCTCAGCTCTGTGTTCTGATCAGTTGCTTACGATTGTCTCTCTGTCTCAATCTCCCCACCTGTGACAGTCAGCTCATGGCATGGCGCGCTTGGAGCAAGATGGAAACCACCCTGGCAGGAGCATAAAAACTCTGGAGGGACACTTGTGCCCCTCCCTTTGGCTATCAGACTATTGAGATAAACTGTCTGAGGAATTGGAATTCCCCCCGGCCCCCAGGAGTCGCATGCTTGGAGAAGAAAAAGGCTGAAGTCTGGTGCCAGCCAGAGGGGAAATGTCCCCCAGGAAGAAGTTTCTACACGGGAGAGACTGGAGTCCAGATGGCGCTGGGTTCACGATGGAAGGCACTGCAGACGCTGGATCCATGATGGACCGCACTGCAGATGTCGCTGGGGCCCGGATGGAAGGCACTGCAGAAGGCGCTGGGGCCCGGATGGAAGGCACTGCAGAAGGCGCTGGGGCCCGGATGGAAGGCACTGCAGAAGGCGCTGGGGCCCGGATGGAAGGCACTGCAGAAGGCGCTGGATCCATGATGGACCGCACTACAGATGGCACTGGGTTCACGATGGGCGGCCCTGCAGATGGCGCTGGGGCCTGCGCCTCAATGGAACCGCCTGACTGCACACACCTCTATTAAGCTTCAACCTCAGTCTGAAAGTGGATTTGGGGGTCTCCGGTCCTCTTTATTTGTCGACCTTTCCAATGTAGCCACACTGAATATGTCCCTTTCTCGGTTTTTCACTGCTTAGCTCCTCCATTGGCTTCTTGGGGTCGGTAGCCGCCAGGGCCTCTGATAACAAGACGGTGTGGTTATGATTTTCAGGGAGTGCAGGTGCTCTTATCTCCTCAGCGTCTCCACGGCGCTCAATAAAGGCTTATCGACTGGGCCAACAACACCCGGATTGGTCCTGTAGAGTAGAGAAGGGAGACACAAGAATGTAAGCCCACAGGTGAGGACAGAGGCTGAGCAGAACCCGGGCAGCCCAGCCGCTCGCCCAACCCTAGCAACACCGCAACACCAGCAGCAGTCCTGGAGAGGGCCGCAGTTGACCCTGCTCCCAACCCCCCCTTCAGAGCCCAGCACCTGCTGAACCACGCTGACTCTCTCCAGAAGGCAGCTCACCCACCCAGCCTCAAGTTCTCCCTTCCCTTCTCTTGCCCTTGGGAACCCCTCAAAGCATCCTGCGTTCAGGACTTCCGTGACACCCCAACATCTCTCGTGTGCCCCACCCCAGTGTCTAAACAATCCTTCCGCTTAATGTCTCTCTGATACAATAAATGATTCAGTCTCTGTCCCTATCGGGGCCCTGGAAGATTTGCTCCTGGCCTCCTCAGATTTGAGGCTCAAAGAGGCACACAAGGAGTCAGTCACAGGAGGCTGGTCCCAGGCCCCGGCTTGCCTGAGCGAAGGAAACTCTTGCTTTGGCCACTCTGTCAGGAGGAGGTAGCATGCACAGTGACACCTAATCAGGCTTGGGAAACCAGGCCAACAGTTAAACCACACAAAGGAACTAACCACGGCTCCACTCACAACTGCCTGCTTGGCAAGTGCCAAGACAAACAGCTGTGCTGTCTGGGCCTCCCCAAGGCTGCGTCTTCCTGGACCCTGGTAGAGGCCACTCAGGAAGGAGGTGCTTGGCGGAGTGTAGTTCAGTTGACATAGGGCTCACTTAACTTGCACGAGGTCCAGGGTTCCATCTGCAGTACAGAATAAAACCGTGTCTGCACCACATACCTGTAATCCCAGCAGTCGAGAAGCGACCGCAGACGCCGGTTGTGGTAGTGCACACCGGAAGGCTTTGCTGAAGGAGGCAGAGGCAGGAGGATCAGAAGTTCAAGGCCATCCTCTGCTTCATTATAGGAGCTAAGGCAGCCTGAGACACATAAACACTGTCTCCAAAAAGAAAAGAGTCCTGAACTATCTGGTACTTTCCTCCTGGACCCCAAGTCTCCGGCTCATTCCTCTGGGAGTCTCTGAATCTGGCTACTCTCTCTGGCTCTATTCCAGTCAAGTGTGGAGTGTGAAGACCTACAGCCCTTAGTGCACGTCACAGGCAAACAACGCATGCTAGACTGATGGGGGAGGCTCTAGAAATGCTGAGATACGGCTCAGGAGCTCAGAGCACTGGCTGCTTTTGCAGAGCGCCTGGGTTCGGTTCACAGCACCTACCCGATGGCTCACAAATGTCCGTGTAACTCCGTTTCCCGGAAGTTCATGTCCTCTTCTGACCTCTGTGAACACCAGGCAAGTGTGCAGTGCAGACACACAGGCAGGCAAAACGACCAGACACATAAAACCTGTAAATCTGTAAACTAAAAAGACAGTTCAAGAATCTCTTCCTCAGGGCTACACAGAGAAATCCTGTCTCGAACATCCCCAAAACATCTCTTCCTACTTAAGGAGTTCAAAACCAGCCTTGGTCTAAATCCCCAAGGTTCGGGGAACAATTTGGAAGAGGAGGCAGAAAGAATGTTAGAGGTGGAGAGAGGTAGAGGGGTACTGTGTCCCTGACATGACTCGACCAGCGTGCTCACAAACTCCCCGAGGCTGTGTCCCTCACACGACACAAACTCCCCGAGGCTGTGTCCCTCACACGACACGACCAGCGTGCTCACAAACTCCCCGAGGCTGTGGCTAGCAGCACACGATCAGGCCGGTGAGATCCGCCAGCAGTCTGGCAGTTGGCATCAACTAAACTGGGTAGATTCCCAGGAGAAACGGGGAGAGTGTAAAGTGTGCTGAGGGAATGGTGTGTGACACTAAGTGACAGGGAGGAGTTGGAATGAATATGATCAGATGTACCGGACAGATGCATGAATCCTCAAAGAATAAGTAAAGGACGTCATAAAAACCCGTGGGCCAATAAGATGGCTCAGCTGGTGAAAGGCGCCTCCCATGAGCCTGAAACCTGAGTTTGATCCCTGGGACCCACGAGGTAGGAAAGAACTGACTCTACACACACACACACACATACCACACACACACACACACAGACACACACACACACAGACACACACACACAGACACACACATACACACCACACACACACTACACACACACACACAGACACACACACAGACAGACACACACACAGACACAACACACAGACAGACACACACGCACACACACTCTGTAGATGGTCTCCCCATAAATAAATAAGAAATATTTTTAAAACTTTATTTATTGAGGTTGGGCAGTGGTGGCACATGCTTTTAATCCCAGCACTCAGGAGGTAGAGGCAGGTGGATCTCTGTGAGTTTGAGACCACCCTAGTCTACAGACCGAGTTCCAGGACAGCCTCCTAAGCCACAGAGAAACCCTGTCTTGAAAAACCAAAAAAAGAAAAACAAAAACTTTATTTATTGCTGTGCAGTGGCAGCACACACCTTTAATCCCAACACTCAGGAGGCAGAGGCAGGTGGATCTATGTGAGTTCGAGGCCAGCCTGGTCTACAGAGTAAGTTCTATCTAGGACAGCCAACAATACACAAAGAAACCCTGTGTGAAAACTGCAGGTTTTTGTTCTCTGTGTTCTCTGAGAAGTTGCTTGAATATGTATATGTTCATCCCTCCACGTCCGGTGCCTATGGAGGTCAGAGGAGGGAGTTGGTCCCCTGGAACTAGAGTTATAGGTGCTGTAAGCTGCCGTGGGTGCTGGGAATCAAATCCAGGTCTTCCAAAAGGGCAACAAATGCTATTAAGCACTGAGCCATCTTTCCAAGTCACCAAATAAAATATTATAAGAGGGCTGGAGAGATGGTTCAGAGGTTAAGAGCACTGACTGCTCTTCTAGAGGTCCAGAGTTCAAATCCCAGCAACCACATGGTGGCTCACAACAATCTAATATTCAATCTGGTGTCCTCTACTGGCATGTAGGCAGAAAAGTGTACACGTAATAAATAAAACTAACTTTAAAAAATATTATAAGAAAAAACAAAACAGCTTTTGAGACACAATGTCACTAAGCAGCCTGACTGGCTTAGCACTCGCTCTGTAGACCAGGCTGGTCTTGAACGCACAGAGATCCACCTGCCTCTGCCTCCCCAGTGCTGGGATTACAAGTGTGTCTCACCACAGCTGGCTGATAAAAGAAAAATTTAAGACAGAACCCCAAAATCATGTTCTCAGGCAATCATACTTGAAGAGTCCCTGGACAGCCCAGGTTCAAATCCTAGCTGGGCTGAGAAGCCGCCCTGCTAGCTGACGGCTGTAACTGGGGCTGAGCCTCTGCTCACTGCTGCCTGGTGCAGAGGAATGTTGAGAAGGCGGTAGTCTCAGACTCCTGAGGAGATCTGGGAGTGGGTGCCAAGAGGTTGATGATCTTCAATTAGAGGTGACCTGGACCCCTTAGTGGTCTCAGCTGGGAAGAGAGGCAAGACACAGGCTTAGCCCTCGAAGTCCACAGGCTGTGGAAGCCTCAAAGGAGACCCCCAGGAAGGTGCTTGGGAAACCTCACAGCCCCAGAAAGCAAAAGAGCAGTGGTATTAGAAACAGGTCAGGCTGCCGTGTGGTGGGGCATCCTGCTAATCCCAGTAGAGGTGGGCGGATCTCTGTGAGTTCCAGGCCAGTCTGGTCTACACAGGGAGTTCCAGGCCAGCCTGGTCTTCACAGAGAGTTCCAGGTCAGCCTGGCCTACACAGAGAGTTCTAGGCCAGCCTAATCTACATAGAGAGAGCCAGGCAAGCCAGGGCTGCAAACAAAGAAAAGCAAGGAGAAAACACAGCTTCGTCTCAGAGCCTGACATCTGACATAGCTGACATCGGTGCCCCAACAACATGTGACACAGCTGCTACCCATGCTCCTGAGAGCGGATCCCAGCACCCCCTCCAGCTGCCCACCAGCCTCCCTGCAGACCCCGGGCAATAGAAACGTCAGCTTGGCTGGGAGGAGTGGCTGGCTAGCTCTGCAGACATCTAAAGAAAGAGATGAGAGAGGACTGCCCATCCCCCAGTCGTTGTCCCGTTCCCCCCTGCCCCCTGTCCCCCGCCCCTGGTATTTCTTCAGGGAAAAGAAAAGGCTATATGGTTGAGGGAACCAAAGCTGAGTGATCAAAGCTTGCCTCCCCAACCCCCCACCCCCAGCCACCGCCGCTCTCCCCCCACCCACCCAGCCCGCCGCCCGCCTCCCCACCAGGTGCCCCTGCGTCCTTGATCTGTCCTCCTCTTCCCAGCTGCCACCCACGCTCCTCCACCCACCCGTTCAGGGAGGTGGGCAGGCAGCAGCTGCCACCCACAAAGCCAGAGGAAACAGCTGTTGTGCAGAGTCAGGCCTCAGCTGAGCTCCAAGCTGCCCCAGTTGCCTCCCCCCCGCACACACTGCAGGACCGCTTGCCTGCTCCCCCAGCTCCCGGGTTTAATGACCTTTGCATTCAAAACGTACAGGGAAAGGTGGGGGCTGTAGCGTGAACTGCGCGGGACACAGCCGCAGCCCTGGGGAGGCGGAAGCAGAAATTCAAGGCCATCCTTGCCAGCGCAGTGACTTTGAAGGTAGCCACTGACTGAGACCCTGTCTCGAGCAGCACAAAAACACAGCACCTAACCAAGAGGCTGGAGCGATGGCTCTGAGGCACAAAGCTGTCCGTGCCCCGGCCCCCAGTTCCGCTCCCAGTGACCGCTTCAGGCAGCTCATGGGCACCTGTAACCCTAGCTCCCGGGAATCCACCTGCAGTCACGTGCACATACCCACAGACCGTGAGACACACGTGTAATTACAAATAATAAACATATCTGCGTGTGGTGGCATATGCTTGCAATTCCGTGGCTTGGGGAGGCAGAGGCAGGTGGATCTCTGAGTTAGAGGCCAGCCTGGTCTACAGAGTGAATTTCAGGCCAGCCAGGGCTGCACGGTGAGACCCTGTCTCAGTGATAACAATAATAATGTGAATAAAATACATCTTTGAAAAATGA